CTGATTAACAATTTAGTAAAAAGAATACATAATATATAACTAAGCTTAAAACATCAATAGTGACAACAGTTTTACTTAGAGAATACTATAGCTAGTGATCAACACTCAAGAATCTCACTATTCTCCAATAATCAATCACTGACTGCTTAAATAACCAGATTTACAATAAATAATAACCTATACTCAGATGGACGCACAATCTGTTTCCAGTCTTTTTTTTTTTTGAGGGGGGAATCAGGGATTGAACCCAGTGGCGTGTTAACACTGAGCCACTTTCCAAGCCCTTTTTTTATTTAAAGACAGGCAGGGTCTCACTAAGTTGGTTAGGGCCTTGCTAAGTTGCTAAGGCTTGCTTTGAACTTATGATCCTCCTGCCTCAGCCTCATGAGTCTCTGCAATTACAGGTGTGCACCAACGTACCTGGCTGCTTCCAGTCTTGTGGTCATCTACTCTACAAATGAATCACTAACAGAAAGGTTATTTTAAGATCCATTTCACAGAAAGCTAATCAAAGTTCCCATTGCAAATGACATACAAAATTATTTTTAGCTGAGTGTAGTGGCACATGCCTGAAATCCCAGCAACTTAGGAGGCTGAGGCAGGAGGATAGGAAGTTCCAGGATAGCCTTGGCTACTTTGAAAGAACCTGTCTCAAAATAAAAAATAAAAAAAAAAAGTTCAGAGAGGCAGCTCAGTAGTAGAGCACCCCTGGGTTTAATTCATAGTACCACAAAACAACAAGGACGAAAAGTGGTGCATACGAATACTGTTCCTAGAGAGTTCCTATTATTTTTCCAATTCCACTAATGGTGTCTGCTGAAGCATATTTATTTGTAATGTAATCTAGTTATCAACCAGCTGTTCTAACCTAGTGTGGATTTAGAATTTCAAAATGTGTCTTTATTACTCTAATAAAATGTAATTTTCAAATAAAGGCTTCTTTTCTTAATGACCCAACCATATATTATAATTAATAACTAATACACATCAGAGTGTCAAATACTTTTTGCAATCTTTTATTTACAACTAAACAACCTGGTTATATGGTTAGGGTCATTACCCTATTTTGCAAATGAGAAAACTAAGACTTAGCAAAGTAACTGGCCCAAAGTTTTATGACCAGTGACAAATCTCTACTCTATGGCAGACAAATCAACTTTCAAGCTAGTTCATTTAAACATAATCCCATCTGTAATTGATCAAAAACAAACAAGAAGCCAGGCACAGTGGTACATGCTTATAATTCCAGCAATTTGGGAGGTAAAACAGGAGGATCACAAGTTTGAGGCCAGCCTCAGCAACTTCAGTGAAGCCCTAAGTGACTTACTGAGACTGCCTAAAAAAAAATTATTTTTATATATATATATATATATATAATATATATAAATAAAGGGTTGGGACGTGGCTCAGTGGTAAAGCACCCCTAAAGTTAAACCCCAGTATTTCTCCACAAAAGAAAGCAGCAAACAAACAAAAGAACCAAAACCAAAACATTAACCACTGCCTCACTTGTTCAGGATTTCAAGGTTGTCAAGGAAAGGTAATCTTAAAACTGAGGCATAATTCTCATTTTAGATTACTTAAAAAGACAATGCTTGCAGAGCTGGGGATGTAGCTCAGTGGTAGAGGGCTTGCCTAACATGCTGAAGGCCTGGGTTCCATCCCTAGTATCAGAAAAAAAAAAAAAAAAAAAGACAATGATTGCTTGTAAATGCTCTCTGAGCAGCATGTTCTGTTCTAGAAATTAAAAACTTAAAAAGTAACACATGCAACCCACCTAAGGGAATTCCACATTTCAACTTTAAAGCAAAAATGGTTTTTCATGCAGAAAAAAAGTTATGTGCCAGTTAAGTGTTTACCTCAGGGAAAGAAGGGAGAGTAGGGGTTTGGAGACATTGTTTGGTGTATCTATGTATTTCTATTATTGCTCATTTTTAGGATACTTTTAATTACACTGAGTTAAAATCAAACATCACTATAAAATTACATTACATATGAAGTCACATTGTTACATGTAACATTTCATATAACATTATTAAATAATATTACCTCCTTTTGAACTTGAACATCTCAAAATAATAATTTAATAATCCAAAGCAGCATTTATAAAGTTAAGGTCAAAAACAATAAAAGAGCTACAAACATGCTTTTGAATTTATTATAGCAGAAGCAATAAGGTACTGAAACAGAAAAGTTGTAATAATTGTGACTAGGGTAAAGAACTCAAATGAAGAACAGCAGGTAAAACTTTTAAAGTACAAGAAAGCAAAAACAGTAAAAACAATGTATAAGCTCTTGGAAGAAAAAAAATTAACAGAATCAATGTATCAAGGAAAGTATTTTTAAGTCAAAAGTTCAAGAAAAATACTCAAGGTAAACAGGGTTAACAATCACAATTAACGTTGTTCTCTATGTAAAACATACAAAGTAAAACATTATTGAAATTAATGTTGTACAGCAGCATATCAAAATAAACACCACGTACATACACAAAAGAAAAAAAAAAACTGACCAGCTTTGATGACAGTTTTTCCTAAAGTAAAACAATTTAATTGCTACAAACACTGCACAACAGTAGTATCTGCAGTGTTGTGGTATTATTAATGAAGTAGCATGGAAGTGAAAACGTGGACTAGGAATTCAGCATCTCAGTTTGATACCCCTATTCTTCCAATACACGACTCTGGGGAAGTTATTTAACTTCTCTCAGACTCAAGTCTCCTTGTCAATAAAATGGGGATAATAACTACTACCCTTATCTATTCAGAAAGAGTTTCTGTAATGATTAAATGAGATAACAGAAGATTAATCCACTTTGCAGGTGGTTATACACACTGTATGAAGAAAATACTGGACCACATGATCTCTTAAGGCCTTTTAAATTCTAATTCCATAACTCTATTTTTATTAATGTGCAACTTAGGAACCACATAATGTAATACAACAAAAAAAAGCCAAATCAAGTGGACTTTTTTTTGATATGAGGGATTGAACCTAGGGGTGCTTTTTATTTTGAGACAGGGTCTCACTAAGTTGCCGAAGCTGGCTTTGATTTTATGATCCTTCTGTATCAATCTCCTGAGGTTCTGGGATTACAGGTGTGAACCACTGTGCCTGGCCTGTTACCCTTTTGATCTTAGGTTAGGTACTAAAACTCCTGTCAGTTTACCTTTCCTCCTCTGTAAAACAGATAAAAGGATACCTGCCTTATCTATCTCTCAACATTGCTTAGAAGAATTGGATGTTTGTAACTGGGCATGGTGGCACACACCTATAATTCCAGCATCTTGGGAGGCTGAGGCAGGAGGATCATGAGTTCAAAGCCAGTCTCAGCAAAAGTGAGGTGCCAAGCAACTATCTCTAAATAAAATACAAAATAGGGCTGGGGGATGTGGTCAGTGGTCCATTATCCCTGAGTTCAATCCCCATTACAAACAAACAAACAAAAGAATACATCTAGGGGCTGGGATTGTGGCTCAGTGGTAGAGCGCTCGCCTAGCATGGGCAGGACCCGGGTTCGATCCTCAGCACCACATAAAAATAAAGGCATTGTAAATAATACACCTAAAAAATAAATGTTAAAAAAAAAGAATACATCTACTTTGCCAGGCACAGTGGCACGAGGATCAAAAATTTGAGGCCAGCCTCAGCAATTTAGAGCGGGGCCCTAAGCAACTTAGCAAGATTCTGTCTCAAAATGAAAAAAAAAAAAAAAAATGAAAAAGTGCTGGGAGGGCAGGGTGCAGTGGCACAGGCCTGTAATCCCAGAGGCTCTGGAGGCTGAGGAAGGAGGATCACAAGTTCAAAGCCATCCTCAGCCACTGAGTGAGGCCATAAGCAACTCAATGAGACCTTATCTCTAAATAAAATTCAAAAAAGGGCCAGGGATGTGGCTCAGTGGTTAAGTGCCCCTGGGTTCAATCCTAGTACCAAAAAGAAAAAAAATAGATCCCAAATTAGATAATTAGATCCCAAAACTGTTTTCTGACTCCTAATCCATGGTTCATCCATCAGCATACTACCTCTGCAACTAAAATATGAAAACTATAAATACTGATACACTGAACCAATGTAATTTCTTAAAAGATTTATCAAACTCAAGCCAGTGTATTCAGAAGTATTTTTTAATACCAAACTGCTGATGCTGTAATAGAAAATTAGTTTTTGAATTGGCTGTTTATGTCAAAAAAAACAGGCCCAACTCTCTTGGAAGCTAGAAGTCTCAATCAGTAATTGCTCTGGACTTTATATTTAAGTTAAATCTTTCATTTGTTAAACAAAAACAAATGTGAACCTCAGGCTAAGTTGCTGGGCTATAACCTGCTGCACATGTCTAGGTTAAGGTGTGTCTTGTAGACCAGGAGATAGAACAAACATGAAGAGCAACAAAAACAATGGCAAAAAGCTACTTCAGGGACTAGGGTTGTAGCTCGGCAGTAGAGCACTCGCCTAGCACGTTAGAGGCCCTGGGTTGGATCCTCAGCACCACATATAAATAAATAAATAAATAAATAAACAAACAAACAAATAAATAAATAAATAGATAAATAAAGGTGTTGTGTCCAACCACACCTAAAAAATACATTAAAAAAGCTACTTCATATTAATATGTGAGGCAGAATAAAGAATGTGAATAATATCTGCATGTCTTGAGGACTTTCCTATATGTGGATGACACGACTAAGCAAGAATTGTCACAATACAATGACATGTCACCAGAAATTATTTTGGGATCTATGCTACAGGATTCCATAATAGGTGAAACCTCAAATATACCAAGATATACCTAAATGAATCCCTATTAGAAGGGTCTAAGAACATACCCATAGTTTATGTGAGAATATGTGGTCTGATTATAAGAGTATACTAATTAATAAATTATAATCAAAAGTGAACCAAAAGTCTACTCAAGAACCCATTTGAGAAATTATGTGTAAAATCCACACACATCCCATTACAATTTATTTTCATTACATCTGGTTATCTGCACTAATACATACCTGGTAGAGTTCTTCTAAATTGTATTTAATTGAAGTACTATTCTGAATAGCTTCCACTGCTTCTTTCAGTTTCTGCCATGTTTCATCTGTGTAGTTTTCTGGTAATTTAGGTTTATCTAGATGATATGTAAAAGATTGGTATTAGAATAATATGTAGGATATAGTAACCAAAGATCTATAACACAACATTACAATTTTTAGGATGTTATGATTTTCGTAACTATTATAGCTAAATATTAAAGTAACCACTGTATTTAAGCTCAGTATTAATAAAATTTAAAATGCCAGAATACTGTTTAAGGCATTTTGACTCACCTATTAAAACTGAAGGTGAGGGTTTTTTTTCTCCTATTGATTGTATTGCTTCAAAAAAATAAAAATTCAAGAATGACAGATAAAAAAATAACAATCCTGATCATCTTGTGTAAAACCTGTATCAACATGAATGAGTCTTGTACATGAGATTTAAAATTCTGAGTATCTACTAAGTGCAAGGTATTTTATAAACTTCTTAATCTTTTCAACAATTCCCTGGAGTAAATATTATCATCCCTATTTTACAACTGAGGAAAAGGAAACTGAAGTGGGAACTCATTTGGTGAGCTTGCCCAAGGTCATCATACCTAGTAAAATGGCAAAGCTGGGATTCTAATCCAGGTCTGTGTGACCCCCAAATTTATGCAACATCTACATAAATGGAAAGAAATATCTTTAACCAGTGTTTGAAGTACCTTTATGATCAGAATGAATTTTAAAATATTAAAACAAATGACTCCAAAATCTATGCAGCATTTTCAGAATGTAAAGAAACCTCTTAATGTAAGCTTTAAACTTCACTGGCCAGCAAAAAATTAAAAAAAAAAATTTAATTAAAGCATCCAAATGCCTTAATAATGTGTTTTTACTTTAGAGAGAGAAAAATGAACAAAATCTCTGGAATTAATTTGCAAATGAAATTAGGATAACAGCTCATTTCCTAAAAATTATTGGTTATTGATGCATTTTTAAGTGAAATAATGAACATATTAATAATTACAATTCATATCCAGTTTAGAAAACTATACTATTAAATCACAAAGAATAAAACACTTGAGAGCCTAGAGATGGGAAGGAGATGATATAAAAAAGGGTTAAAAACAGACAACATCCTAATCTTCTGCTTGAGACAAAATAGAGCATATTCCTGATTTCCATACCAATGTTGAAAACACAAGCACAGAGAATCTAATTTTCTCAATGCTAATATTTAGCCACAAGACATTTGTCTGGTAAATATTACTTAAGTTCATTCATTTACTTCTCCATTTAACAAGTATTTTAACATCTATTACCTGCCAGTTAGGGGTGGTAAAAAAGTAAGTCAGAAAAAATAGAAACACATTCAACAGATAAAAATTAATTCAGCTCAAAAACATTTTAAATGTTGATTTTATACTTGCATCAATGCATTCATTTCCGAAACCACGTATCTCAAACACAATACAAGCAAATTTTCCTAAAATCTGTAGGTCAATACTTTAAAACCTACTTAAGTGAGGAAAAAATGTAGTAATTGTTCCTATCTTTAGACTGGTGGTACACAGAGTTACTACTTCTGTGTATACACAGTATTTTTTCACTTCCAAACCCTACCTTTGGAAAGAAATTCAGAGACCCTAAATATTTTTCTCCAAATATTTTTTCCACAATGAATTTCTTGAATATAGTACAACATTATACACCTATTATAAATCTTATATGAGCATGGAAAGATCACCATTGCTACCTGCATTTATTTCTAGGGATAGAATGTGGCCTACTGAAGCAGAAAAATAAAAATCTCAGCAGTGCCAAGGCTCACTATGCACCTGAACTAAATAAACCTCTTTAGAATACAATTTCTCACCTGTAAAATCCGGATCAAACATACTGTAGATTGTCAATGTTATAAGGAATAACAGATTAGATACAATAGGTTCAGAAAGACCTCGAAACACTGCAAACACCCGGTGGATGCTTCAGCACAAGGATACTAACCACCCCCGGAAAATGAACCCTCCACCAAAAAAAGGACCTCCCCTCCATCTCATTGATTATGCATAAAACATTAGGCCACCTCTATACTGTTTAATATATTAACATAAATAGAGCACGTGACCGCTCAAGTGTCAAATCCTTAGGTGATTATGGATTTTGGCCTTGGTTACCTTTAAAGTTCTTGATCACTAACTTCTTAGCAGAGCCAGGCTTGCTGTTAGCAAAGCTAGAGACGGTGGTAGATGATTTGGCTAGGCCGTTTGCATGATGCACCGAAGCCACAGAAGAGATTAATATACTCTTATTTTTAAGTTGCTGCTGCTGCTGAGATGTTGCAGCAGTTGGTGAAGATGAGGAGGAGGAGGAGGAGGATTCCTCAGCCATCTTCGCATCAAACCCTACAAACTCCAGGGTGTCTTCAAAACGCAGCTTCTTCTGTATCGGTACGTGGCTGGAAGCAGCCACTGAAACCCCCAAGCAGTAGGACGAGGTTGAAGGGGATGCCGAATCCCTGGGTTGTAAAGGAGGAGTGGAGGAGGAAGACGTGGAATCAAAGTCTTCTCTCTCGTTACTACTGTTACTGCTGCTACTGCTGCTGCTGCTGTTTAACTTTCTCTTCTTGGCAGAGGTGGGCGGAGTGGTGCTGGTATTACCATCAGTGGCAGATCTGACCTCCTGAGCAGCAGCAGCAGCTGAGGGATTGGGGGAAGAAAAACCTGTTGGAAACATGAAAATAGCGGGGTCAACAGGCAGAGGAGCATCAAAACCCTACGTTTATATGCCTGCGTGCGTGTAGGAGAGAAGGTGGCAATGCTAGAGGGGGAAGGGAAGAAAGAAGAGAGGAGAAACACAGAGGACAAGAAGGAAAGTGAAGGGGGGGCAAACCGGGGGAATGGGAGGGTTTGGGAAGGCGGATAGGCTGACACCAGAAGTGAGGAGAACGAGGGGGGAGAGCGAATGAGGAGGCAGACAGGTAAACGGCCGTGCCGTCCCCCCTCCCCTGCTTTTCAATCTCTCCCCCCCCCCCTTTTCTGCAGGAGCGACTCAAGAGAGTCTGTGAGGCTGCAGCTCCTCCTCCTTTTCTCCCTCTCTCTGGGAGGGGAGATGCTGTGGTTGGGGGGAGGGGAGGGGGAGCGAACCAGAGCTTGTTATTGTCAATAGCACAAGAGGCTAAAGATGGCGCCACTTCCGGTCACGAGGCACCAAAGGAGGGGCGGCGTCTCTCCCCAGGAGTGGGGGGTGGAGAGAAACACTGCAGCCACCCGGGGGTTGGGGGAGCTGGCTAGTGGTGGGGCGGCGGGAAAGGGGCAACCAAAGCACCTCAAATGCTCTTGTTAGTTCGTTCCGGCTCCTGTTCCCTCTCCCCTTCCCTGCCATCTTCCTCCCCAAACCCACCCATAACTCCCACCCCTTCCTTAACGGTCCCGCGGGGAGCTTCGCGCCGCAGCGCCCTTACCGGAAGTGACTGGGCAGACACTTTTCATAGCGCCCAGATCCCGAAGCCCCCAGGTCCGCAGGACTCCAGTGGGGGGGGTGATGGGGGAGGGAACAAGGGGGGGAAGAGAAATGGAAAGGGAGGAGGGGGCGGGCCTTTGAGACACCTTCAGAGCTCCTGATTGGATATTTCTGACCGTGAGGTGGGCGGGAGCAAGGGGTGGGGGTGGCGGGAGAAGGAGCGGGAAGGAGCCTGGAGAGGAGGGGAGGTGGTGACGGCGAGGGGCGGGGTAAGCTAGCTGGGAAAAAAGAGAAGAGAGGGAGGAGGTAGGGAGTAAAAAGTAAGGAAGAATGGAAACTTTGAAAGAGATAAAGGAATAGGAGGGGTTGCAAGGTGACGGGAGTAACCCGAAATAGAAGAAAACATAATCATGCTATTATGCCTGCTGCTACAGAACGTCACGATTTTAAGATAGGAAAGAAAACCTTAGGAAGCAAAGGAGTTTTTAATTCCATGTAGCAACAAATTGTTTCTCTTTTGTGTCAAGGACACCAAAGACCCAATGCTGAATAGAGCCTGAATTTTTTTGTTCTTTTCTCGGTGATAAAGGCATAAATCCTTTTACCTTCCTACCAGAACATTTTCTAACATGGCCGACCAGAGTCAAAGGTGCAATCTAAGGCCAAGAAACAGCCCCCACCCAGCCCAAATCCAAGGAACACTCCCTACTCCCAACCCATTAGTCATTAACTCAGCAATTTGTAGACCTAAGCTAAGACCCGCTTCTTTTACCAAATCTCAGTTTATACGCTATATGGAAGAAGACATTTTTAGGAGAACAATATTGGCAAAAGTCAAATGTTTTAGTCCAGAGTGGTGGTGCACCCCTGTAATCTCAGCAACTGAGAGGCTGGGGCAGGAGGATTGTAAATTCCAGCCTCAGCAAAATTCTCCAAGCTCTCAACCGTAAGCACCTAGCAAGACCGTCTCAAAACAAAACACCACAGCTCAAGGTGTTCCATGAGCCAAAGTTGTACATTTGATGATCTTTTCTGGTACCAGGGATTGAACCCAGTAGCGCTTAACCCTTGAACCACTGCCTCAGCCCTTATTGAGACAGGATCTAGCTAAATTGCTTAGGGCCTTGCTAAATTGCTGAAGCTGATTTTTAACTTGCCATCCTCCTACCTGGGCCGGGGATTACAATCCGCAGCGGG